GAATTTTGTTGACACTTCTATTATAAGAAAGGGCAAATAGCGATATTAAAATATTTCTTCTAATTAATTTCTTTTCAATGTGCACCAGGCCACTTGTGTTTGAAATAAGGTTCCTAATAAACCTTTTCCTGCATGGAATGTCACTTAACTGCCTGCTTTTAATTAATAACTGGGCATTAACTCCTAAATAGTGCCATCATCATAAAACACAGTCCAGGCCCCACTGCTCACCATTGAAGTATTAGACAATTATGCAGTATTCGACCAGACTCTGAATATGTCTAATTTGGGAGAGAATGATGCCCACGTATATCTTAATGGAAAGAATGACCAGACCTTGGCAATGTAATGGCTGCTAAAAGAACAATAACCAGCTCAGCTTACACTCAGAGTGCGTTCCCAGCAGAAAGAGAGATACTTGGTAGAAACAGAAAAATATAATGAAACAGACTTCTGTTGGCAGAGCATATGTATTTATACATTCTTCTGTGTTTAGCTCAGTGGTTCGAAAACAGTTCCTGGAAAGACTGCAGGACACAAATGTTTTCCATTTGAGTTTGTACATTTCACCTAATTGGTCCCTGGGACAAGGTTCACTGCTCCAGAGGTGGCTTGGCTCAGTCTTTAACAAACACAGTAATGAATGTCAGGTTTGGGACAGAAAATGGCTGCTCCATATCAGACAATCATGAGAACTTGGAATTGTTTCCCACGAAAATCTTAAATAGCCATGCAAGATCACTCTGGTTAGTGGGCTCTTCTGCTCTCTCCATACACATAACTGAGTTACTTGCTCTGGGTACTCGGGGCTTGCCTACTTTTAAAACCTAGATTTGGCAGATTCCTTCACTTTGTAAAGGGAACGTTGTGGGCGAAAATAAGGCAAAGGTGATCTGAGTGCAACTGGACATATTGAAGGTCACTTCAGAATAACCTTAAAGTGAAAAGATTCGTTTGGGCGGAGCATGCTTGTTTTGTTTTTCCTCTCAGCTGTTTGAAGTAAATGAAAATGCAGAAGAAAGTCATCTTTCATACATTTTCATGCTGACACATCTAGCAATAGTTAGGGATTTTATCTCATCTGATCCAGCCCACCCGAAAAGTCAAGGAAGTGGGTAATTGAATATGAAAACTTGTTTTATGTCGATGGAAAAGAAGGCAGCTAAAGTCACAGACACCCTTTAATCAGAGCCGGAGTTGTGTGCCCTCACCCCAGCCTGCACACCTCGGGCAGAGTTTCCAATCACTTGATTCTGACTCTCTTAGAAGACAGACACAGTTATTCAACCTGGCAGATGACTTGCCTATATCCTCCGAGTGAGTCACAATTTGCATTGGGCCAGCAGGAAAATAGTAAAATGAATGTTGGTTCCATGAATTCCTTTATCTGTGAAAGGACCATGGGCTGTAATTTCCTTATGGAGTGGGGGAATTGCCATTTCTCTGTGTGGTGCTGTGTTTGTCCCAGTTGTACCACTCATCATGTGAGGTGTGCACAGTCTGTGCCAGTCTCCTGTCTGGGCCTCCGTTTCCTCCTTCCTGATCAAAGCAGGGTGGGTGGGATGACCTCCTAGGGCACTTCCTAGCTTTTGCATTCTGAAGTGCAGCTTCTGTACATAGGAGATGAGGGCATCAATTGGTCAACTACAGACAACTTGGGTTGTCCAGTGGATTAACCCTTCAGCAGACAAATGTGAACAAACAGCAACACTCAAGTCCGGCAGAAAGTTTGTGTTGGGCTTGCTGGAATGATCGGAGGACATTCTGGATGGGGAAGCACTCCTAAGTGTGGGCAGGGCTTGTCGGATGGCAGTGCCCACTCCGTGCGGCTGCTCCCTGGAAGTAGCCTGCTGAAGATCATGATGGGCAGCATGAGGTGCTCAGGAGACAATCTGGCACCCGAAGGTCTCGGGTTCCTCCACACGTCTGACTATCCCTACCGACCCAAACACCCTAGCCTTGTACGTTGGCGAGTTATGTCACTTATAAAAAGTCTGTTTGGTTACTTTTTTAAAAAAATGAAGATAATATCTCCTTTTCGGTGTAAAAAGCTTAAGATAATGTATTTTCAAGTGTCTAGCAACTAGGTGGAGCTTGACCAATAGGTAACTAAAACCAGCAATTTATAAAAAACAATAACAGACAAACCAAGAAAACCTTATGTGAAAGCCATGGGGGAAAACACTAACATGTAGTGAGTAACAGTTCACAGAGTATTTATTTACAGATGCAGAGATTAACTGCAAGGTCCCAGGGTCACAATACTTGGAAATAGTAGATTGGGGATTTAAGTCCTCTGATTCCTTTTACAATATGCTACCAGCACACCATTACACTTGGTCTATATTATAGTTAAGGTCAAACTTTGGTGATTCGGGAAAAGGAAAAAATGATCAGAAATGGTAATAGTTCCTGTTGGGGAAGGGGGCGGGGAGAGGACTGCACTTATGTCCCTTTTATATCTCCACAGCGGCCATTTAAGACAAACCCAGGAAACCCTGGCCAGCTGCTCCTCGCTCTGTGGGATCTTCGTTCCGAAGCAGCTCCTGGGGATAGCTGGGAGATTTGAATATCTCTGGGATGTCACTGTCCAGCTTGGAAATAATTTTATAAATGGGTTTCTTCCAGGAAGGATCTGAGTCTTTCCCTGCTGAGACAGCCCTGAAGAACTCCTGTAACGTCAAGCTGGCGACTTCCAAGAAGCAATCCGGGACCTGCATTCCCAACGAGACACACAAGAAAGAGAAGACATGAGGCTGGGAAGCCCTGGAGCCCTGCAACCTCCCTGCCCGGTGCTCCTGTTCCCGGGGCGGCTGATAAGAGCACCCCTGCTCTACTGGGCCCTGATTCTTGCAGCCGTAGGAATCCCCTGCTCCTTCATCGACTACAAACCTTAAAAGGCTGTACCAACGAGACAGCCCTGGGAGAAAGCCTATTAAGGGCACTCCCTTGGTAGCAGGAGCTGATTCCACTCATGGGAGACATTCTTAAAGTGGGAAACTCTGACACTGATTGACCTAAAACCTGTGGTTCAAAAGAGGTGTTTAGCATCCTTTTCCTTAGTGCGCACCAT